TAAATTTTTTTTCCTCTTTGATTTTTAATACTTTAGAGTCTGTAATTTTTAATTCTCTTGGTGGTGTTTCTGTAGCCTGTAAAAACAGTATGGGGCTAAGTTTATGGCATCAGATGAACTTGATTAGATTTTAAAAAGAAATAAGGAAAATATGATGACATTAACAGGGATGAAATGGAAGTGGTTAGGAAGAAATGCATACATTTGGGATGAAACTGATTTCTGGCAAAATCATTTTCTGAGAAGCACTTACAGAGTTAGAAGAAACTGTAAGTGTTTGGTGTTTACTAGAATAGAGACTAATGCTGATGGAAACCAAGGGAAATTGTTGAGGCTGAATAAGGAAAGTCGGGGAATTCAAGGACAATGGAGAGGCATGCAGTGGGTGCCTGCTCCAGTTAAGAGGTCAGACTGTGTTGGGTGCTCAGAAAAGGTCTCCCCAGGGCTGTGAAGCATTGCCAAACCCGATCTTCCTCATTAATGCCTTGCCCAGACTGGGCCACAGCTCTCACCTCCACAAGCAGTTTATTTGGGCCACAGCTTTCCTCAGCCCATAGGCACGTTGGGCAAATGCCAAATGTTCCTGTCCATGAGTGGGATGTCATTCCTTTGGGAGTGACACCAGGAAGGTGCAGGATGGACCCATTCTGGTACCGTGGCTTCAGCAAATCTCCCTTGCTGCTCACCAGGGGTCTCCTCCTCCTTAGGGAGCCTGGCCTAGCAGGGTGAGGGGGTTTAGGAAGGTTTGTCTGTTCCCCTACACAAAAAAGGGGATACTCAGATGCATTTTGTTATTATTACTTTCATCCTTCTCTAAATTTCTCACAACACTTAGATAGCTCCAGAAAGCCTCAAGTGTGTATCCGTGGGTCTTACTGGAAATGTTTACATTCCTCAAACCATGGTGAAATTTATTTCTGTGCACACAAGGCACAGACCTCCTCTAAATCCCACTTAGGCTCTGTTTTGGGACTGTGTGACACTTTGACTTCCCTGGCTCCCAGGAGCAGGGTGAGCTTTCCACAGGGCCTGGAAGCCAAATGTGAGGTTTTGTCCTTGGGTGTTGATGTGCAATATCCCTGGTGACCATTACCACCTGCACAACAGCTCTGGAAATTGCACTGAATGAGAAAAACAGGGATTAGAGTCTTCGGAAATCTTAGCAAAATAATACAGATTAGCAGAAAGTGTGGGTTTTCAGTGAGCCAAAGGCAATATCATCTGCTATGTTTGCCTTCCTGTTGGAAACCTAAGGTTCAAACCCAAGGGGATAAAAGTGTTGATTGTAGGCTAGAAACAAATAATAACAAAGGGGAAGTATCTATTAAAAAGAAAAGGCAGAGAAAGAGAGAAATAGTGACTTTCAGAGATGCTGGGCACACAGGCAATGCCAGCCACACTTCCCTGAATGGAGTGTCCTTCCATTTCTCTCACCCTTTCAATAGTCAGATCAAAGACATTTGTCTGGAATTTCTGGACATTCCAGAGTCTGGTCAAAGAAGCAGCTCTTATTTCCAGGCATCTCATATCTCAGAGAATGCACCCATGTCTTGCAAGGACATGGGTTCTGTCCAGGAAGACCTGGATGGAGATCTGGGAACCTATGCTAGATCACCAACTGATGACCTGCTGAAGGTTTCTGGGATGCCAGAGACTGCACCTGCCTTCCCCTGGATTTCTGCCCTGGGAAAGCCAGGAGGATCACCTGCTAAAACAAGAGTCTCTCAGGTGATCTCTTGGTAGCAATGAAACCTCAGGGTCTGGGGAGCAGATGGGTCAGGTGCTGCAGCCTGTGCAACAGGCTGGAATCTGAAGAATTTCAGTTAATGTTTACATCCAGTGTTTACCCTTTGATAAGGAACAGGTCATTCACTAATGTGGACATGACATATTATTGGGAGGTTGTCAAGGTGTTTGCTTTGTGTTCTGCACACTTGTTCTCCTCTGGAGAACACTTGTGTAATGTCGTTTGATCCAGATCAGCAGCTGTGGGTTTCCCCTTTATTTTTATGGAGCCATTTGTATAAAAAGGGCAATTACACAAGAAAGCTAAGAAGGTTTGAATTCTGCTTGTGTTTATTAAGGAAAATTCTCATTCTTCCTTCTGTAATGGAAAGATTGTGTTGGTCATTTCAAGGGAGCTCCACAAGTGCACAAATTATTGCAGACTGTGTTATATGCCAGGGTCATTTTTCCTGGGTTGTTGAGGGCAAATCAGAGATAGAGAGAATACCCGTGTTTCTGGTGGGTGATGATTTGTTTGGGCAAGCATTGTATATCAGTGCAGGTGAGTTACAGATCAATTATGGCACCTGGCAAACTCTAAATGAGATTGAACAAGACCAAACTGCAATTATAATAAATCTTGCCCTTATAAGACAGGTGAGTTGTTCAGTGACTGTGGTCTGGAGTCACTGGGTTTTCTCTGTACAGAGTTAATTTGCCAGACAGGAGGCTTTGGCATACTGAGTTGATTGCAAAGAATTCAAGATTGTGCAATGCAAATCACCTTTCCCTAGAACAGAAAAGGCTGATGTGGATGGAATTAAGTTAGCCTCTGTTTTTAACAACAAAAAACAACACTCAAACCACTTTGGAATGTAATAGATTCATAGTGGCTTTATTTCTTCCTTGGGCATGGAGTGGTTATACTTCCCTGCATTCTTACTCTGTTAATACACTTCCCTTCATCTTCCAGTAGTTGTGGTTCTGATATACTTTAATTTAACATTTCTCTTCTTGCTTCCAGTGGTTTACAAAGCAAGCCAGTGGGTCTGGAGTGGCACATTGCATTCCAGCCTTGCCAGAATGTATCTGAGAGCCAGAGGCAGCACAGTCCCTGAGGGAGCTCTGCTCCTCCCCTCTGAGAGCAATAATGCCATTATTCATGTCAGCTGAGTTTTAAGGACATTCGTGGTTTTCTCTTACATGGGAAAGAGAGGGCAGCTTCCACACAGTTCTTTGAACATGTTGAGATAAACAATTCTGCTGGCAGGGTTTAGGAAATATTCTCTGCAAAAGAAACAAAAGTTTTCCCTAAGGTGTGTCTCAGTATCAGGCAGAGCTTCTTACCTCAGTCTTCTAAGATATTGAAATGATATTTCCTATTACTTCTGGTGTTAGCATAAAAACCTGAGTCAAAAATTCTTCTCTGTATTGCCAACTTCACTGAAAATCCAATGAGGAGCTTGAAACAATGGGGGGAAAGAGATTTTGGGAATGACTGGTATAGGAAGCCAGGAGAGCACTTCCATGGATAGATATGAACTAAATCACAGCAGTTACTTGGATTCTAGACATTGCTGTGAAAAGTTGGAGCCAAATTCTCCCTGTAGATCAGGGTGTCTCCATGAGCTTGCATGGAACTGTGCCAGCACATCCCAGACCAGGACTTGGCTCTGTCTATTTACAGCACCAACAGCAACAGCTGCTTGGAGAGGTTCCTCTGGGAGAAAAATTTAATTACAACAAGGGAGATAAGAGTGACAGAGCAATCTGTCTTCTGGATCTCTTGTGGAATGTGGCTCCTGTGGGGTTTGGTCCTGTGCACCCACAGCACCCCCAGGTTCTGCTGAGCTCTCCCAGGGGTCACAGCCATGGGCCAGAGTCCAGGGAACTCCTGGGAATTGTAACTGCACTGGGACACACCATGGTCCCCTCCCATCTGCACTGAGTGTCACTGCAGTCATTCAATGCTTTTTTCCCTCAGCAGTTCCAAAAAATCCAGCGTTTTCCTTTCACCAAGTATCTCAAGTTTCTATTTCTTTAAATTCCTGAACCCACCATGGTGAAAAGGATGGGGAATGGCATCACCAGCCACTGATGTTTCCTATTTCCTTTGTGACCCTGTTATTCACAGACAATTAAATTTCACAGCTTTGTTTTAAATCATCTGTAAAGGTGGAGAGAACTCCAGACATCCTTGAGTTGGTTTCTTACTAAAGTGTTAAAAAACAAGGCAAGCACGTGGAAAAAAAAACCCCAAAAAACAGCAGGCAAATTACCACTTTGTGGTGTTAGGCTGTTTTCATTTCCCAGAAACTAGTTAATTTATTTAGTGTGCCCCACCAGTCCAAGTTTCATTTATAGATTAACTTGTGTATTTTGGCTCCTATCCATCTCTTCCTTTGGCTCAAAATGAATGATACCAGGACTGTCTTTGAAACAAGGCAGGAATGTGATTTTTTTTTTTTTTTAAAGAGAAACATCACCCTGAAACCTCTCTTTCTGCCAGCTTTTTGAGGTCCCACCACAGAAATATGATATTGGGAATGGCAGATTAGTGTCTGGTGAGTCCCACCTTCATGAATAAATCAGACATGTAATATTCTGGAGGGATCTGGACACAGTTTGTGCCTCCTCAGAAGGAGTTTTACTGGAGCAGCTTGCTGATGAAGCTTTTCATGATTGTTTGTTTGCTTTCTTTTAATAACTAATCAGTTTCTAGAGCTGGTTTAAATGAGAATTACTAAACTAGGTTGCTGGTTAGCAGCACTCTGGTGCCAGGTTCAGTCTTTCATTTGGGTTCCTCCTGCCTGGGAGCAGTCAGGGGGTCTGAAGTTGGCAGAGGGCAGAGAGGGTCAGGCTGTTGGTGTGAGAATCTCCTGCTTGTCTTCTCCTGGCCTGTTGGGCTGCTGCTTCAGGACCCATTTGTTAAACTAAACCTAGGAGCGTCATGCACAGCAATCAGAGAGCAGCTGTCAAGTGCTGCTGATAAACACAGGCTGTTTTCCAGACTGCAAAAACTGTTGTTATACATGAACTCTATGCTGGTGCTTTTTCCTAGTCCATTTGGGGGTTTTCAGGGGAGTTCTGAGCTGCAGCCATAAATATCTGGCCACCTTTTAAAATCTGTGACTTGGGACTGGCAGCAGAATGTCTCATCAAGATGCTCTGTTGGTCTCAGGCACCTTTTTCTAGGATTCTGGGAAAGGTTTGCCAAGATGTGCCAGGAGAAGCCTCCCACTGAGTCTTTTTCACACATTTCTCTTTCTTTTTAGGTTCCTCTAGATATTGTTGGAATGTAACTGTAGAGAAAAATGTTCATTTCTAGCAACTCATTTGTGGACTTTTAATGATACTTGGATTTCTGGAAATGGTACAACATGACTTCAGCTGGGAATGAGATAGAAAGATGGACTCACAGGCAAGGTGGCAGAGCTGGGAAGCTGGTGGAGCCTGTGGCCTCTCCTGAAAATGATCATCTTTTGTCAGTGAAGTTGGTCAGCAGCATGGAGCATCCCTTGCACCTCCCTGGAAGGGCAGACTCTGCTTACAGCTCTTTCTCAGGAGGATCAAACATCCCAGAGAACCCCACACCATCGTGCCAAGGTGATTATTTGTGTGTGCCTCCAGAGCAGGCCCCGTACATGGACTCAGAATATGTGACAGGAATTTATAACCTCAGTGCTGCCCACCCTGCCCTCAGATCCCCCCAGGCACGCAAGGCACCAGAGCTGAGCGTCCCCAACAGCTCCCACAGCTGTGGAGTGACTCCTGCACAAAGGACTTCAAATCAGGGCCCTGCAGCCCTGGCAGCTCCTCTGCTGTCCCCTCCCAGGTGCCCCAAGAGCTGCAACATCACTACCAGGCCCTTGGACACGCCAAGAGAGAGAAAAGGCTCTGCAGAGCCCAATGAGGGCAGCAGGCAGCCAGCCCCTGGAGTGCAGCACAGGGAGGGGCCATGGGGCCAACACTGGGATGCACTCACAGAGCAGGGTGTAGGGCCTCCTAGGGAAAAGCCTCTGGAAAACCAGGGCCTTTCTTCTGATTTCACAAAGGTATCAAAATTTCAGCCATTAAAGACAGAGGAAAACGGAGAGTGGATCCCATCACAACAACCTACAAAGAGAAGCAAACACATTTTCAGGAGACCTTCTTCATTCATTTTTCAAGAATATTTAAAGACAGACTCTGTGGTGAATGTCCCCAAAATTCTTTCTGAATTTAATTCAGGTCATGGTAACAAAATTCCCAAAGAGATGAACTCCAAATCCTATCACCAAGCACATTCCAAGCCCAGTGCTGTTAATGATACACAGCAAGTCAAACAGTGTCCCAGGGGTGTGTGTAGGGCAGGTGCCAGAGAAGCAGCTCTGCCAAGCACTGTGCCAGGGCCCAGCCAGAGGAAAGAGTCCCTGCCCTGTGCTCAGGGCCCACTCCACACTGAGTGGGATTCAGACATGGATCAGGATGTGTTTGAGGACAGCTCGGAATTAAAATACGTGGAGAATGCTCTTCTAAATAAAAATGCTCCCAGGAAGCTGAACAGTTATGCAGACAAAAATCAGTGTTATGATTCTGAAGGAAAAATTATGAGCAATATTAGGGAACCAGTCCCAAACCAGCAAAACAAAGTGCAGAGATCATCACTGTCCTGCAGCTGCAGTGCTGTGGAAGAGGAGCACCCTCAGTGTGAGGAGCTGGAGCAGGGAAGGAAGCAATGCTGTGATGATGGCACAAGCCAAATGGCTTCTTTCAGACCAAAGGAAGAGTCCACATCTCAGTCATTACGTGAAGTGCAGAAAGGAAAGCAGGGTAACAACAGCAGTCCTGACCTCAGCACGTGTCTGGAGCAAGAGGAACCTCCTGTTCAGAAACTCCAGACTGTATTTCAAACACAGCTCTCAAGACAGCTCTGGGAGGACCATGCTGGGGAACAAATAACCAGGCAGGCAACTCCCATGCTTTACTATCTGTCTGCAGGGAGAACCACCAGTGTCCTGCACCCCAGCAAGGACTCAAGGAGCTCACCAAAAGAAATTCCAACTAGCAGCTATGCTGCCTCAGCACAGTGTCTAGAGATACAAAGAGAGGGCCATCAGCTTCAGAGGAGCAGCCACCACCACCAGCACAGTGCTGATGATCTCCAGCTTCAGAACAAAGACCTCATTTTCAGGAGTCCTGCTTCATTCACAGAAGAGAGTTTCCAGAATGACTACATAGAAAAACTTAAAATGGCCCAGAAAAAGGTTCTCAAAGAAACCTCCTTTAAAAGAAAAGACTTACAGATGAGTTTGCCTGTCAGACTGAGACAGAAATCCTCTAAAAGGCCATCCATTGAACACCTTCGGTCTTTCTCGTTATCCAGTGCAAGTGAGGATGCCAAACCTGTTCCTTGCTCCCCCTCCCATCTGGAATCCTTGGAAAGCTTCAATAGAAATGAAGAAATAAGGAGGCCACAAAAAGGTCAAGCAGGGGGAAGGAAAAGGGTAACCCAAGAGCAAAAGAAACTGTGCTACTCTGAGCCTGAGAAGCTCAATCACCTAATGGATAAGGAAATACCATGGAGTCAAGCTAGGGATGAAACCACTGAGCAAGGCACAGTGGCATCCAGGAGAAGGGATCTGGAGAACAGAGGAAAGGCATTTTCCAGTTCAAGTGTCTCCAGGACAGAGCTGAAACAAATCCAGCACAGTGCACTGATCAAATACATGGAACGAAAGATCAGTCAAAGGCCAGGGGGCTCACAACACCTCCCACTGCAGAAGCCACCCCTGCAGGAGAGGCTGTCAAATCCCAAAGGCCCTCCTGGCCAGATTTCCAACCCAAATGGGAGCAGGAAGATGCAGAATGATGAGGTTTTCTGCCAACCTCTCTCTGAACAGAAATCACCAGATGTTTTTCCTCCTTTGCCTTTTGCTCCCCCACGGAACGGGAGCAGCAGGTGTGATCCCAGCCAAGGGGACAGGAGCTGTACCAGCAAGTGTCCATCTGCTGAAAGTCTCCCACAGGCAGGGGGTTCTGCATCTGGGAGAGCTCCTGAGAGACCAAAATCCACTCCTTCTTCCACACAGGTAAGACACCAGTACCTGAAAGGGGCATAAAGAAACTCAAGAGGGACTCTGGCACTTAAAGATACATTTGCAGAGAACATGTGCTGTATGCTGGATGAGGCTGTTTGTGCTCTAGTAGTGTTAATGACAGCAACTTCATTAGAGCCCTATCCCAAAAAAAGGTCATTACAGGGAGAATTATAAATTACCAACATTTTTTGGCTTCTGAATTTGAAAGACAGTAGCTGTCAATATTGTTGAGGAGAATAAAGAAAATAAAGGGCCAAAAAATAAATTACTATACATACCACCAAAATTACCCTGCTGAAGAGACTGACAAACTTCCACCAATGCTGAATTTCTGAATTGCTATGACAGTAGAGGTGTCTTTTGTTGACAGCTGGTTTTTTGTTTTCTAGGGGGGGAAAAATGATGCTACCTAGGAAGAGCGTAATAGCAATTTAATTAATAAAAAAGATGTAGACAAAAATAACCCCAAAGAT